TTTTTTTTTTTTTTTTTTATTTGATTTGATGTTAGTTTGATCGATTTGTGTGTTATTTGTTTGTCCTGAAAGTGGATGATCGACGACTGTAAAGGTTCGTTTAGCTTGATTTTGCTGAAATGATCAATTGCTGCTTGTTTGTCTGTTAATTTTTCTCTTATTTTCCATTTTTTTGTTATTTATCTTTGAATTTTTTAATGGCGAAGCGAATGTGAATCGATCTTCTGGTTTTTGTGCTAATTAAATGCCGTTTTGTTGGTTGAATTGGACCTATAGAAGCTTAATTTATGGTTAGATTTGGGCGTTGAGTGTAATCTGAGCTAATGCTGATGAGTTTGGTTCGAAATGGTAGAAGCCTGTGGTCTTGGTTTTCCACAGTTGATTTGTCGGTTTGTGTTGATTTTGCTAGTAATTTGAAGTCGCCGAATCTTTTGCCCAGCCCTTTTTAAACAAAATGTTGCTGCGGTTTTGCTCAGCTTCAAGTATGGGCAATCGCCTTTTACTCTTATACGTTTAATAGACGTATATAATGTGCCTGGATTCTTAGGATCATATTTTGTAAGTAATTTTAGATTCTCTTATTTAGTCGTCTTCTGAAGTTCAATGTCTGAAGTGAAAAATGTAACTGTTTAATCTGTCTACATCTCTTTGTCTTACTCGAGAGCGTGTGGCTTAACCTTTTTATCTTTTTGCCTCTGTCTCTTTTTTTCTTCTACCGTGTTGCAGATTGATGGTTCCTGTTCTTGGCTAGATGGACCAGGTAAAGACAATGGTCTTAAAAATATCCTGTTGTTCGCAATGATTTATGGAATTCTGATGTTCCACAATTTACCAATGCAGTATGAGAAGGTCGAGAAGATTGGTGAAGGAACGTATGGAGTGGTCTACAAGGCTCGTGATCGAGTGACAAATGAAACCATTGCTTTGAAGAAAATCAGGCTAGAGCAGGAAGATGAGGGTGTACCAAGCACGGCTATTAGAGAGATATCTCTTTTGAAAGAGATGAATCATGGAAATATTGTGAGGTACTTTTGTTTATCATCGCATTATGATTGCAGGTAAGAGATTTTGGAGTCAGGCTGTTTTAATGCTTGAAAACTCGCCATTGTCAATTAATTATCCGTGTTTAATTTCATGTGGCTGATTAAACACATATATATGATGGTTATACTGTTATAAATGCCATGCTCAGTTTTCAAGCATAGCTAATTCCTGACTTTTGGGTCACAGGTTGCAGGATGTGGTGCATAATGACAAGCGTTTATATCTGGTATTTGAATATCTTGACTTGGACTTGAAAAAACACATGGATTCTTGCCCGGAATTCTCAAAGGATACCCGTGTGGTTAAAGTATGTAAGCTTATTTCTGCCATTATAAAATCTGAAATATTAATCTTCATTCTAGTTGAGTTTGTAGTCTGATGAGAATTACTGTTAGGGAGATTTGTAATTCGTGAACCTTGACTAAAAGGTCCGCATATTTTTTCTCTGCAACTGTTTCACTCCAGCTGCTACATTTATTAGTGTGAGTAATATTACCTGAGGCAGAGGGCTTCGATGGTATTCTTATAAGAGTACAAAGAAAATTAAGTATCATATATTTAGAGAAAAGTGAAATCCAAATCTGTATCTTGCTAGTCAATATTGTTGCCATTAAGTCAAATATACATTTTCTCAGATGTTCCTTTATCAAATACTCCGTGGTATATCCTATTGCCATTCTCATCGTGTCCTCCACCGGGACTTGAAGCCTCAAAACTTGCTTATTGATCGACGTACAAATGCATTGAAGCTTGCAGACTTTGGATTGGCTCGAGCATTTGGCATACCTGTCAGGACATTTACCCACGAGGTAAAATGCTTTGAGGACATGAGGTCTATTACCATTTGGTATTTTACTTAAAGGTAGTCTTTATATTGTCCTTATATTTCTTTTAGGCCATTGTCTGTGATCTTGCCATGATAAACCTAACTACTGAACATTAGAAATTCTCAAGTTGATCTGTACTTGTTTCTTTTCCTTAAACCATCCTTCCCTTTTGCAGGTTGTCACATTATGGTACAGGGCTCCAGAAATACTACTTGGATCGAGGCACTATTCGACTCCTGTGGACATGTGGTCCGTTGGTTGTATATTCGCTGAGATGGTAAACCAACGACCATTATTTCCTGGGGACTCTGAGATAGACGAACTCTTCAAAATTTTTAGGTGATATATTTGAGTGAACAATGCAGATGTTTACAAATCACTTTCTTTTGTCATTTGAATAGACCACTAGGCTTTTGTGGTGAATTTATAAGGTACTCTAAATTTTTATCCAAGTCTTTTTAGCCTGTTCATTTATGACCTGTTTTAACAACATTTTCTTCCAAAAGGTCAACAGTTCTTGCCATATGATTGTATAAGATTTGCTTCATTTTTCAACTTTCGTGTTGAAGGGTGATGGGCACCCCAACTGAAGACACCTGGCCTGGAGTGACATCTCTACCTGACTTCAAATCAGCGTTTCCAAAATGGCCACCTAAGGTTCGATTACAATGAGTTATTATCATTCTTCAATTTCTCAATTTTTTTTATGAACTGCTTATGATATGTAGCCTTTATTTGGTATATCTTACTTTACAGGACCTGGCAAGCGTTGTTCCAAATCTTGATCCAGCTGGCCTTGACCTCCTTAGTGTAAGTTCATTTTTTTTTTTTTTTTTTTTTTCCAAAATGTGATGAAAAAATGAATTATGATCTATAACCGTTTTCATTAATAAATAAATAAATCTTTGGTCTTGTACAATTTGCACTCCCGAAGGAACTTGTATACGTGAGCTGATGAGTTTGGTGACTGATTCTCGTCTAACTGGTCCTTGTAGAAAATTTATGAGAGTGCTCTCCTCAATGGTTTTTGCCCATTAGAATATCATTGATGGCTCACCGAAGAAATAAAAATCGTCCTAAACGAGATAACTTTTATTTGATTTCAAATACTGCTTTCGAGCTCCTTCGGGTTTTGCCCGAAGTTCCTTCTCCCATTAAAATTAAAATATACCTTCCAGATTTTTAGCTCACAGCCAGCTTTTGAGTTTTCATGACAATTTAGAGCAATATGCCGACGGGTATTTGTGTTCTCTCGTTTCGTATTTAAACAAGCCGTCAATTTCTGCCTTTTCACTCTCATTACAGAAAATGCTCATCTTAGATCCGAGCAAGAGAATTACGGCCAGAAAAGCTCTCGAGCACCATTACTTCAAGGATAGCGGCTTTGTCCCTTGATTGTTGCACCGTATGCAGGTGTAGATGTACATTGAATTTGTCGCATCATAGGATTAATGTTGTTCGAAAAAAAAAAAGAAAAAAAAAAAGTGTGTAATGTCCCCCCTTTTTTTTTTCTTTTTAAAAACTTAGGTCTATCCAATTTATATCAGAGTGATTCTGGGCTGAAGCAACATTGAAGACCTCAGGTGCTTGTGCTTTCACTTTGATCATATCCTCCTTATTGTGTGTGGCTGTCAATTTTGTTGTTTTGTTCTTTTTTTAATCAGTTTTTACTGTAACGTTATATGCTTGTGTAAGACATTAGTCGCTAACTCTTGAATTGGATAGATTGATATCGTGTGCCATTATTAGTACAATGTTACATTTTCAGTTCTTTCGGTGGCAAATTAGTTACAAACAAATTTATATATATGTTTTTTTCTCTCATTTATTTATGATTGTGACAAAAAATTTCAGAAAAAAAAACTACTATTAATTCAGCTCACTCTTTTCTCTACAATCCTACTAATACGGTGTAAAAAAGTAAAATCTATCAATATTATGTAGTTTTAATTTTCAACCACTCTTAATTAATATTATATATTTTTTTATATATTTACTCCGGCTCTAATCATTATATTTTTATCTCGTATATATTTATAAGCATAAAACTATTTTAGTTTTTATATGAATAATTTATTTTATTTTTCATTTTTATTTTCGAGACAAATTTCTTCCAAAAATTATGAACTAGAAAGTAGAAAGGATACTTGTGATCCATAGTGCTGCTATAATAATTCATGTGATCCATAATGCTTTTTATCATCGACGCGTATTTAAACCAAGGCCCACGAGTTGACGCCTCAGTTAAATTACGTGAATACTGAATGCCTCATTTATAAATTTAAATAGCCAGAAAAACATTGTAGTAAAGGTGGTTCTCTCATCTTGTGATTTCAGCACAAGTTTTTGTTAAACGAAAAAACATTGAAGATATATATGGGAAATTCCAATCAAATTGCAACTGCGGTGTAATCATCTAAATTTTTACAATTGCATCAACACATATCCATTTTTACAATTGCATCAACACATATCTACACAGGTGCACGTTGATCCAATGATAAAAAAACTCGATGATTGCACTATGAAGTGTCGAAACCTCATATACATGCACGTTAACATGTATAGGATTACGTATGATCCAATGGTAATAATTTCGTATGGTCACTGCTCGCAAGATAGAATCAAGTGTGTCTTCAATTTCTCTTAATACCAACTAATCTATTAATATACAAAGAAGCAATAATATTTACTTGAAATAGTAACTAAAAATCAATAAAAACATAATTGGTTTCTCGCCTAAAAATTCAAATTTACTAAATTGGGTATTTTTTTGCTAAAATTTGAAATTTCCCGCCTAAATTAATGTACTCAATGTACATAATCATCTTGGTCAAATATTGCGGCTATTACCTTTATTAGTTGCATGATTTAAATTTGCACCTCAACGGAGCACATCAGCTTGAAGGAGGCAATCGTAAAAGGAGCTTATATAAAAAAATAGGAACTTTCTTTGGTGGTATTAACTTCTCTTCCATCGAAAAGAAATAATGACCAAAAACTTCAAGCAAATCTGAATACATCCAAATACCGAATATTCAGTTGTTTCGGATTAACTTCGGCACTGACCTTTTTAGTGTCATTCGTTGATCTTCATCTCCGTAAAAATCCCATTGCCTGGTACAAATTGTCGAGAGTGACGTTTGCTATGGATGTAGCTTTATTGGCACCCTCGGCCAAAATGTCATCCAAATAAGTGGGGTCTGACGTAATTTCCGCATAGCGAACCTGCAGAATTGCTGGATCTATATAACTAATCGGGAATAAAATGGCATATGGCTTTACACTTTTACAGTATCAAATGTACAAATATGAATGTGAGCTTGACCCATTCAGACATAAGCAAGGGACACGAAAAACATTTCTAATCAAAACTTGATTCGTGATCCATAAGAAGAAAATTGATGAGAAGAAGAAAGATGAAAGTATGTGATGTGTATTAAGGATCATGAGGAAAGTTGTCTTTTCATTCTCGTTCCTTTCTGTATCAATATCAGTTCGTGCATACTGGAATATAGACACTACTTACTGTTACTGATGGATCCTCACACCCTAAATGTTTCAATATATATTACAAGACATGGCTCGAAAATCCAAATAAGCCAATCATGAATTAAAATAGATTTGGATCAATAATTCGATGTTAGATTTTAAAGACGTTAATCAACAAGAGTTACCTGGATTGGATGCAGATGATCAACTAAAGCATCAGTAAGCAGGGGTTTGAATGTTCCCCAGTTCATATCTCGACATTCTTCTACAACTTCCTGCACCAGAAAATCATTGTACGATGCACAAACAACATTTACGAATAAAATTTCAAATAATATTTGTCATCAGATTTAAATTTTAACACATGACAGTGCAATGAGTGCCAATAATGTTAGATCATATAGATCAGCAATGGAAGAGAAGAAAATCCAATCAGCAAATGAAGAGAAATATTTGACACAGTATTCAATACTTTGTTCAGTACTAATCAATATGCAATATTCCTAATCACGTACCAATTATATTCATCAGAAGTATATTCATTCATAATTATACGTTGGCTCATCTCAAGCATTACATATTGGAGAATGTAGCGACCTGATCCACTTACAGTACTATGGCATTTGAAATTAATAACTCGCGGAAGCATTTGAAATAAGATTTGCACGAGTGGCAACACTTAACGAAATTTTTCAAACTTTATTTAAAATGCAATCATATAAGAGGAAATAAAAATACTATTACCACCAAAAGAAACTCGATTCATAGTCAAATTCTCAAATTGCAACTACATAGTTCGAAGGAAATAATTGTTCGAGATACCGAAAGACAAATAATGTTTCAAACAAAATTATACGACTACTATTTCCAACAAGTATTACCCCACTAAGCATTTTCGCTTACCCCATTTTTCTCTAAAAATATTTTCAAATTGACGGAGCTGGTGACGTGTTGAGGAAACTAGTAGTCGTTTTATTTTGTTTGGAAACATTATTTGCCTTTTAGTATCTCGAGCAAATTATTTCCTTCGAACTATGTAGTTGCTATTTGAGAATTTGACTATGAACAGGGTTTTTATTTTTATTTCCTCTTATATGATTGCATTTTAAATAAATTTTGAAAAATCACGTTAAGTGTTGCAACTCGTTCAAATCTTATTTCAAATGCTTCCGCGAGTTATTAATTTCAAATGCTATATTACTATAAATGGACTGAGTCGCTATATTAGTGGTACCAAACACACTGGGACACAGTGAGAGAAAAAAGTTGAGCATAGGTCCTAAACACATTAATTCCCAAATATGAACACCATCAAATATCTTTGCTTGCATGGCTTGTATTAGATACCTGTTTTTTCTTGCCAGTAACGAGCTGATATATCGAGAGAAGGTTGTTACATTCAGGTCTTTCAGGATTATCGAACTCCAAGCTGCATAATTCCAAAACAATGGTGACAGACAAGATGATTAAACTCGAACACAGCCTAATTATCCAAAAAATCTAGGCACATTACGTATTATCATAACTAAATATTCATTTTATTCAGATACAAAAAGCTTCAAGAGGGAAGTATCATAACAGGCAAATAAAGGATGCTAACCCTGAAAATGAGTCTGTCTTGCAACGTTTTATTTTGTTGGAAATTAACTGCAAAATCAGTAAAGTCTAGGTGAGGAAAAGGCACATCGAGTATCGATACTAGCATCATATAAACATAATAATAGTAGAAAGAAGTCATTGAAGGCGGATTTATTTCCTTGAAGACTAGAGCAAATGAGGATGTGAATAATTTATGAAAACACGCAGTGGAGAACTAGTTTCCAATTTGTAAAATTGACCCCAGTGTTTTGACTGTTTCTCCTTGCAAATAAAAGTACACTGCACCCTTTTTCCCCTATTTCAGTTGTTTGGCCTTCTCACAAAACAAGCTTAGTACAAATATTCTGTTACAAGAAACCGATTGCAAGGAAAACATTGCTGCACTACAACTGAAGCGAGAAATAGAATATGAATTATTATACTCACATCCTTGGAATCAAGCAAATTAATTCGAGATTGATCAGATGGTGCAGATTTAGACATCTGCATGCGGAATTGAAGTCAGGTATTGGTCAGAAATATGATGAGCAATGGGTTCATTTCGATAATTTAGAAATCTTCCTAAGTAAACATAATGACTTATAGAATTAAAGACACAAAAGATAATGGATTTAGAAGGGGGGAACAACTTTCAAATTTTCTGATAACCTTGGAAAGACCATCAGTTAGAGACATCACACGAGCACCAGTAGGCGGAATAAGGGGTTCGGGAACCTACATTTATCACAGCACTGAAGAATAAATCCAATCTCCAACTTGATGTGTACCTTAGAGCAGTATCACATAAGGAATCAATAACAGGAACATACCTTAAAGATAGCACCACCTCGTCTTTGGCAGAAAACAGTTGATTTAACAAATCATTTAGTTTTCCTGACCCAGTAGGAAAAATAACAGGAAAAGACTTGGCAAAGAAGGTTTAACTAGTTCACAGATAAAAAAAATAAAAATGTCACTACTCATAAACTTTGAACTCTACTAATGCCCTTACCCTCCCAGCTTCTTCCACTTCCTTCCTCCATACAGATAATTAACACGCTCAGCTAGTTCTCGAGTCAGCTCGAGGTGTTGCTTCTGATCCTCACCGACAGGCACAAAATCAGACTGCAAGGGAAATGCTATAACTATTGAGAACAAACTACATTCAGTCAATACAGTCACCGATAAAGGAGATTACTTCCCGGCAAAAGAAATTCGAAGATTCGCTCTTACCCTCATTCATTATAATTGAGTGTATTGATTCAATAGATCCTATGTTAAGTTCTCAATAAAAAAATGCATATGGCATAAAGATTCTTCATAGATTAGATTTTGGAATAAAAATAAGATACAAAAACAAGGAAAGAGAGAAATAAATTACTTGGTATAAGAGGATATCAGACGCCATCAGCACAGGATAAGTTAAAAGAGCAACCCCAACGTTCTCATCCCCCTGGAAGAAAAACAGTAAGGTTATAACAATGATGAAACTCTAATAATTAGGTGAACATTCTTCAAGGAGCTGGGATTTAATGTTCCGCAAATGTAATAACAACACCAACAACAATAACAATAACAAAATAACAATATAAGGTTTAACTAATGTTGATACTAAAGTTGATTCAACCATAGCCAGTAAGTTACCGCAATATAATTGTACGAATTTAAAGTCAGGTGCCAATATATCATTTGTAGATAAACAATAAGAAGGACAGAACAAAAGGTTACAACGCAAAGTAATTACAGCCTTCCGTGATTTCTCTTTAAACTGTATCATCTTATTGAGCCAACCGATTGGGGTGGCAGAACTCAGAAGCCACATCAACTCTACATGAGCACGGATATGAGACTGCACAAAAACAGAGGCCTGTATGTGGAAGTTAGTTAAACAGACCCATATAGAAATATTAAATAGAATAACCAGACACCCACACAAACACACACCCAAAGAAAAAAAAAAAAAATCTAGGAGCACAATCAAACAGCAAACCTTGGAAGTATCCACACCACATGCCAAATAAAGAGCCGCAGTATCTCTTGTCGCTTTAGATAATTGATGTGTATCATATGGCAATGTTATCTGCATGAATCACACAACCATGATTTAGTTTAGAATTAATGCACGTGAACATTAGTTTACTCTGCGAATTGATGCTAAATCCACCACATGTGAATCCTTCATTCAACTGAAAACTTTTGCATAAATTATGAATTAAACCATGGATAACTAAATCAAGTTGGAGTTTGTTGCAGCTTTTACCGTGGAGAAACTACTCAAATCTATCTTGCAAATATCAAACACTAAAAATAGGATATCTAACAATTTGATACTTGAGAATTATGAGTAGATACCCATGTCCACAAATTAGAAAAATATGCAATGAAACAATGGGAGAATAAGTATTAAGTCAGAACGTACCGCATGGAGGTCCACAATAAAAAAGAATGTCTCATATGTATTCTGCGAGGGAAAAATATGAGGTGAAACAACAGCTGACAGACTATATTTTAGCTGGACAGAACTCAAACAAACTGTGGTTTAAGAATAAAAATGTGGCAGAATATTCTTACTTTTAACCAGGAATGTCATTCGTATAGCTGAAAATTAAAAATAAATGTAAACGCCCAGTAAGTGTGAGATTCAGAAAAGTGGTAGGTTCTCCATCCATTATGTATGTATACTATAACCCCAAAGGAGTGAACTGACACTCACCACACCTATGTAATATTTTGGTAACGACTGTCACTTTGTAGGATTAATACATGCCCAAAGTAAAATTTAAAATTAAAGGACACAATAACCACAGCATAATCTTACTAGGTAACTTTTACAGCTAGAAGAAAATATGAGAAATCTGTTTATCAGTACTGAGTCTTCTGACAAGAAAAATGAAGCAGGGGACACAAATATCTGTTCACTTCCCTCTTTCTAGACTATTATTATTAAGTATTGACAGCTATAACTAATGTACTAAGATAAATAAAAAAAAATCCATCAAATGGGGTGCCTCAAATGAAGCATTAGAACCACAGATAACTTATACAAGACTTCAGCTGCATTGTATGACATCTGGATAAATACCTGTAAGTCAATCCAATTTTTTATGGCACCAAGATAATTGCCGAGATGTATTGATCCTGTAGGCTGGACACCTGAAACTATTCTCTTCCTGTAAAACAATAAATCATGATTAGGTCAGGGTTTGTCAAAACTTTGCAGCAAACTAGGAATGCGATAAATTGATTCCAATAGAGACATACTCATGCTCCCTTAAAAAAA